TTGCTACTATGTCAATAAGTTAAGTTAGTTTTTGGCTGCTTCTCGGACAAATCATCTTCAAGCTGCTCTACGCATCTTACAATATGTCAAGAAAATACCTTGACAAGGTCTTCACTTTTCCTTCATCATCAGTCATTCGAGTTAAAGCCTTCTCGGATGCTGATTGGGGTACTTGTCCTGACACAAGGAGATCCTTGATTGGTTACTGCATTTTTCTTAGATCATCCCTCATTTCGTGGAAATCAAAGAAACAACAGATTGTGTCTAGATCATTCGCAGAGGCAAAATATCGGTCAATGGCCAATACTTCATGTGAAAAAGTATGGATCTTAAATATGTTACGGGATCTGAAAGTGAGACACTGAGGATCAGCACTGTTATATTGTGACAATCAAGCTGCACTGCACATAGCTGTCAATCTAGTATATTTTTCATTACATCATTCATCAATGAGAAAAATCAGCAAATTATTCATTCTCTGTTTTTTTAATAACCTCATACTTACTAGAAAAATAATCTCATTAGTATTTGAATATGAACTTAAGTATGGATATGGCATAAATATATAGTTTATCCATACTTACCTCATATAAATTACAAATATAATTTTTTGTTCTATCCATACTTGTGACATGTTACTTTGATTTTATTCCTATATATGTTTATGAGGATGAACTAGTTGGTGATTTGAGTCATTTCATCCTTATATTTACATTGTATTTATTTCAGAGTTTATTATTTTCTCACTCAAATCTATGTTTTAGTTAATTAACATGCAAAATATTTATATCATAATTGACATATTCCATATGTAATCGAATCAATTTAATTTGTACGTCTTGAATTCTATAAAAACATATCTAATGATGGAGAGGACATTAAAATGATTTAGAATATAATTTATATATTTAATTTTGATTGACATGTTATTATCTCTTAAGGAATAAATTAATTTGGAATTAGAACATTTTTCATTTAAATTTAATTTAAAAGTCATGGATCCTACCCTTTTGCTGTCATGATAAACCCATGCATGTTTTGGTTTAACCAACAGCCAAAAGGTGTCATAAAAAACCTTTAGAGCTTAAACAGCTGTCAACCGCATAATACTTGGGTTAAATAAATTTAGGAAAAAACAAATTATTTTAAGCCACTTTTTCAACATGGGATGACTCAGCGTAATCACCCTACGCCTCCCGCACTGTAAATAACAAATTTAAAATAAGCATGTATTTATTTATTAGGGAAATTGGAGAAGCACAGAATATTATTTATTTAATAAAATATATCCAAGCCCACCTTTCACGTTTAGAGCACGTGATAAACCTAACTGCATCCAATCGCGACACACCACTAAAATTCCACTCTCTCACGCGAAGGCCTGACCTCACGCTCTTCCCGTTCCATGCGACCCCCATCTAATTTTCCCTAGGTGGCGCGTTTCGCTACTCTCCTGGAAGCGTGTCAAGTCAACACCCTTTTCTTGTATTATTTATTGCTATATCATTTTTCCATAAAAACACCGCTCCTGCTATAAGCAGGAAATTATAAGAAGCACCCATCTGCTTCCTCTTTCAATTTTGCTCTCAACTCAACCTAACTCATTCTCCACACAGCACACACACACACACACACACACATATATATATAAATATATGTATGTGTACATATTCTTTGATATTCAGATTTACTGATCTGATGGGCTTCATCATATAATGTAGTAGAAACAGAGTAGTAAAAGGATCCAAGATGGGGAATAAAAGAGATAAAGGATCAATGAGATCTCATACAATGCCGTCATCACCATCCCACTCTTTCTCTTCATCTTCATCTTCATCTTCATCTTCTGATTTCGAGTTCACCATCTCCATTTCTCCGCGCAAATCCTCCCCCGCTCTCTGCCCCGCCGACGAGCTCTTCTACAAAGGTCAGCTTCTTCCTCTGCACCTTTCTCCCCGCATCTCCATGGTACGAACTCTCCTCTTGTCATCCTCCAGCATCTCCTCTTCCTCTGATACAAGCACTACTGCCTCCCGTGACTCCACCGGCTCCGCCGACTCCTCCTCTTCTTTCACCAGCGACCTCGCTCGCGACCTTGACTCCTCCAGACCCAGCTCAGTTGCAGAGGACGACGAGCTCAAGAGACTCAACGGTGGTCAATTCCACCATACCCACATGAACAAGAAGACCAATAATAACAAGTATTTCTCTCTTTCAAGAATCTCCTCTGTGTTTAAGAAGGAACCCAAAAACCGTGACTCGGATAACATACAATCCGGGTCGTCGGTGAAGAGAATGAGCGCAACAGCAAGAGAGGTTATAAGAAAGTATTTGAAGAAAGTGAAGCCCTTGTACGAGAAGTTATCGCAGAAACAGCAGCAGCAGAAAGTGACAATCACTAATACTAGTTCAGTTTCCCTGTTCATGAAACCGGAGAGATCTGTAAAGGAGATGGAGTTTCCAAGCAAGACGTCGAGGAAAGAATCAAACGGCGGCGGATTTTCTCACTCTTTCTCGGGAAACCTGAGGTATCCAAGAAGGAGGAGCTGCATTTCGAGCTGCCCATCTTCGATGCGGTCGTCGCCGAGCCACTCGGGCGTGCTTGCCCGGGGCGGTTCTCCGGGTGTGGGAATGATGCAGCACTACACCGATGTATCATCGATGGAGGAATTGCAGAACGCGATTCAAGGTGCGATTGCTCATTGTAAGAACTCCATGAAGAGAACGGTAAGTAATGAAATCGAAACGTGAGGTGGCGATTGAGGATTAAGTTGATTGTTTTTTTTTTTTTTTTTTTGTTTCTTTGGCCTTTTTGATATAATTTCATGTGTCTTTATCTTGGTGTTTCGGGATCTCGGTAAGTAAACCAGGAAAAATGTAGTAATTGAAGATTTTGTTGTTTATTGATAGAGGGGGAGGAACGTTGAGGAAAAAAGCTGCATGTGAAATTTATATTTTGTATTAACAACTAATCCTTTAAAAACATAAAGTCCAAGACCTTGTTCATTAGGTTTTTTAATTATAATTTTCTGGTATTAATTTAATTTAAATTTTTTTTTTGTCCATTAATTTTCCTGGTAGCATGATAGTGCGGAGTACTATTTACATAAATTGAAGAAATTAAGTACCCAATTATTTCTTGACTGATATTAGTATTTCTCTTCCTTTACATTATAATTATATGTTTTTTTTTATAGTAAATTATTGTATGTATTATATAATAATTAAAAAAATATTATGAAAATTATTTCTTAGTTATTTACTATAAAAACATTAGTTAATTTTTAGGATAAAAAGGATTAGAAAATGATGGAGCTGACTCTGTAATTCTTCAAGAGTGCATGTGCGTGGGAATAAATGAAGCTTGAGTTGGGCTCCATAAAATCTCTGATTCAATAAGTCGGTGTTTAAATATATAAATAGTAATTAATTACGTGAAGTTTCTTATTTTGGAATTGATTAATTTAATTAAAATCGAGTAATTAAGCAAAAACAATTAATTAACAAAACTATTCAGACGCGCCTTTGTGTTGCCCTCTCTAATTAAATGTACTTATGCGGTGGCAAAATCTGACACATGTATTTGGTGTTCTGATATGCTCGAGAAATTAAAATAGAAACAAAAGATTTGACTCTTGACCAACCATATATATATATATATATGTATGATGGTGTTATGTTTTGTTTTGTTATGGCGATTGTTGTCAAATGATGTGAAATTTCAACCTCTTACGTATCAACATATAATAAGGAATGATTGTTATATATACCTAATCTTATATAAATCATGTTTTAATTCTTATATATTTGTTACATTTACAACACATGGATCCTCAGCTTACCTAGTTAAAATAATTATAATTGAATATATAAGTAGAAGAAATTATAAAAATAATAAATAAATAAAATCATAGCTAATAACATATTCTATGTATCCATTGAATATATAAGTAGAAGAAATTGTAAAATAAATAGCATATGTTACATATCAGTATTGTAAATTCTCTTTGTTATTTTAGAAAATAATTGGCCATTACTTATCTAATAATCTTCTTTATACATAAAACACTACCAAAACCAAAAGAGCTATAAAATCAAATTCAAGAAGAACTATATTTCCATCCTATTGTGTCAATGCTCTTTTCTTCAAAGTTGACAACTACTTTTTCAACGGGCAAATGAAATGTTTATGCCTTTTTTTCTTGAGGGTGAAGGGGGGACACTCTCTTTTGGTTTTTTTATAGCTATTTGGAAGGGGCAATCTTTATTTAGACATGTTTTTGCTCCATGTACTCTAATTTACTGACTTTCCTAAATGTTTATTTGTAGTTTTGGTTTAAATATGTAATGTTTGATTAAGGTGGACCTTAAAGGTTTTCTTGGATGATGTTACACTTCTATTCTTTCTAATAAAGGTTTTTTATTTTTAAAAAAGAATTGATAAAATTAAAGCAAAGTGAATAGATTCAAAACTATAAAAAACTTACCATTCATGTTGCTCGTATTGTACTCTTAAAATGCTACCAAGTCAACAACTTCCTCAAAATTTTAAAACAAAAAATTATTGTCATGGTCCTTGTTTAGAGGCCTAATACATTGGCAGAAGTCCATAGCTTAACCAAACACTATGAAGTCTATCTTTAAGCAATATAAGAATGTTGGATTTTTCAACAAATGGGTCTAATGTAGGATTTACTATGCATAACAGACTATCAATTTATGGGTCCGTTTAAAAATGATCAAATATGATAAAACAGTATTAGGTCTTAATGCATCAAATTTAAGTATAAGGTTATAATGTATAGATACTATTTTTATAATATTCTCGTTTTATAATGAGCGAAATAGAAATTGTAAAATTATATTGATATAAATAGGTGGTTATGGTTCCCGAATTATAAGATCGTCATTTATTTTTTTGAAATTTTGTCATAAAAAAAAATAATTTTTGAGGTAACATGTTAATTCGAAAGATTCTATCACAAAATACAAATAATTTTTCCGATATGGATTTAGATATGTTTCCACTTACATTTCTTATTGATTCAATACGAGATTGAGTATTTAGATTTATAGATCTATTGATTTAAAAAATATTTTTATTCTAATAAAAAAATCACAAGACATATACAAAAAATACCCATTATTCTTTCCCACATCAACCAAATACTAATGAATAAGGAAATATGCACAAAAAGAATTTGAAACAAAATTTTTTATCATGACAAAAGATATAGCCCAAGAAATCAATACATTACTGCAAAGATAATAAACCTAAAGAAAATATATAAGCTATAAAATCTAGTTCCCTAATAGAGCACACACGTTCATCCCTAAATATTATAAGGGATTTAAGGCTTGAAAAAAATCCTTAATAATGCAAGTGATAGGAGAGTACAACTTGGTTTTTTACATTCTTTTATATTCGTGTAGCACTATAACTGTTTGGGTGCTATTAGCCAAAAAATTTAATCATTAAACCATTATAATTAAACTCATTAAATTTTTTTTACAAAAGGGTTGATAATGGTGGTGCACTAATTAATATTGAAACTATATATAGGTTGCAAAAAGTGTCATGTTTATTGGCTAAAATCTTGGTATTCATTGA